GCCTTGGAGACCAAGGAATCGGATAAAGTAGATTTACCGTGGTCGACGTGAGCAATGACGGACATGTTACGGACATTGGTAACCTTGTCCATCAAGCGACGAATTTCATCGATTGTGAAATTCTAGTAAATGTGATTAATAAATATACTAATGTTGTCTACGCTTATGATCTTCTTTATGACCCTATGAAAAGGATACTTACAACTATTAAATATGTATGTTAGTTAATTGTATGGATGGATGCATTGTATAGTCCTTTTTTACCCATATTGGATTACAAGAGGTGAAAAGAGAGGATGCGTAATGGATTTATGCCAGATGAAAAGTTTATTCGAGTCGGACAACTAATTGAGATAGACAAAGGATCATGTGATCAGGACTTATCCATATCTTTAAAGGTCATCTTTGGTTTATGTTGTTCAATTGTTTTCTTGATGACTTGTTCAATCACTTGCTCATTTTCACTTAAATTTTCAGATAAATGCTTAATATATTCTTTAACAAGGTATCCTGTGCTATAAAGTGCTGTTTGTTCCATGGCTGGGAATTTTGCATTATTTAAAGCAAGACTGACACCTCTAAGGTTTATCGCACTCAATAGATTCTATACATCTATTTTAATGGTTTGTCCTCTCTCAAAAGTCATTAGATTATATTACCATAAATCCGTCTTGTTCTTCTTTATCGTTTGCATCTTCTTCTTCTTCGTTATCTGTTATCCAATCATTGTCGTCATTATCTTTCTTCTTTTCTGATGTAATGATGCTATCTTTACTATCACCATTCTCTTCGTTTGGAATATCAAACAATTCTCCAATTTCTTTTCTATACAAGTCAGTTAATCTCTTCTCATTATTATTCATTCTTACCTGCTTCCTCCTGTATTTCATGCTCAATAGGTCGAGGGAAGAAAAAGTCTGTTGTTTCCAAGTCTGCTTTATCCCAATCAATTTTTGCTAGATTGCTTTTATACTTTTTTTGATATTTGCTCTTTTTGGTGTTCAAACTATTTGGCATCCTTTTCTTCTTCTTTGGCGGTATGACAACATCGTTTGTATTGGAATTGTCCTCATTTGCATTACTACTATCAACAAGGCCTTGATCTCTAAATCCGTCACCCATTTCAATTTCTACATTATCACAATTAACACGTCTCTTTTTAACACTTTCTTCCTTGTCTGTCATTCTGTCAAAAAAATATAAAAAAATATAAAAAAGACAGCAAAAGAAAAAACAACCAAAAAAGGCCTTTTATTTTAATCTCAGCCTCTCTTTTCTTTTCTTTTCTTTTTTTAATATAAAATGAGTAAAGAGCAAAAGGCTGAAGAAGTCAAGAATGAAGCCAATATTTTATTCAAAGGTAAGCCTTTTTCTTATTTAATCCCTTGATTGACTCTTTTTTTTTGTTTAGAAAAGCATTTCTCAGAAGCTATAAAGAAATACACCGAAGCTATTGAACTTAATGACAGAGTTGCTTCTTACTACACCAACAGAGCCTTTTGTCATCTCAAACTAGAATCTTATGGTTATGCAATCTCGTAAGATCTATTATATATAATGCATATCTTTTTTCTCTTATTCAAATCATAGTGATGCAGACAAGGCACTTGAAATTGATCCTAATTTTACCAAGGTACAAGAACCAATCAGTTCCAACAAGGGGGAAATACTAATTATATCATAGGCAAACTACCGTCGTGCATCAGCCAATATGGCGCTTGGTAACTTTAAGGAAGCTCTTAAGGACTTGAAGATTGTATCAAAGCGTGCACCCAATGATAAAGATGCCAAATTAAAACTGGATGAATGCGCCAAGATTGTTCGAAGGGTTGAATTTGAAAAGGCTATTGAACATAATGAAATGAGACGTAGTGTAGCAGACACTTTGGATATTGATGCCATGGGTAGAAATAATATACATGATAATTTAGCTCAATAACCTCAAAAATCAATAGTTGTCGAATCTTCATATGATGGACCAAGGATTGACTCTGAAACGAATATGATTGATAGAGAGTTTGTAAATGGAATGATTCAACGATTCAAGGATCAAAAAAAAATTCATAAGAAATATGCCTTTATGGTAAGCTGATGAATATATACATATACATGTATATATAATATCTATTATAGATTATCTTGGCTGTACGCAAAATGATGTTAGAAGCACCTTCATTAATAGATGTAAAAGTTCCTTCTGATGGCAAATTAACTATATGTGGTGATGTTCATGGACAGTTTTATGATTTCATCAACATATTCGACATCAATGGCTATCCCTCAGAAAAGCACACTTATTTATTTAATGGAGACTTTGTTGATCGTGGATCATTTTCTGTTGAAGTCATTTTGACATTATTTGCATACAAATGGCTTTATCCAAGCAACTTATACTTGGCAAGGGGTAATCATGAAACAGACAACATGAACAAAGTGTATGGCTTTGAAGGCGAAGTAAAGGCAAAGTTTAGTGAAATGATGTTTAAATTATTTTCAGAAACATTCAATGCTTTACCACTGTCTCACGTTGTTGAAAACAAGATATTTGTGACCCATGGTGGCTTATTCTCTAGAGATAACGTTACCTTGGATGAGATCAGAAAGATTGATAGAATTGGTCAAGGACAACCAGGAGCTGAAGGTTTGATGTGTGAATTACTTTGGTCTGATCCACAACCAGAGATGGGACGAGGAAAGAGCAAGAGAGGTGTTGGTATTCAATTTGGACCTGATGTGACTAGAAACTTTTTGGAAACAAACAACTTGGATATGATCATTAGAAGTCATGAAGTAAAAGAAGAGGGTTATGTGATTGAACATGATGGTAAATGTGTTACTGTATTCTCTGCACCTAACTATTGGTAAGTCGCTTTATTGTTCTTTATCCTTTCTAACGATAATCATAGTGATACTGTTGGTAATAAGGGTGCCCTTATTAATATAACCCCTGATCTCAAATTAGACTATGTCACTTTCTCTGCAGTGGTATGTATTGTGTAATGTCTATATATGTATATATTTATCAACTCTATCATAGCCTCATCCATCAGTTAAACCAATGCAATATGCCAGCCAGTTCAGTGGCTTATTAGGCATGTAATTGACCAGTCAATGCCGTAAGTGATAGATTTTAACGTTCATTTAAATAAAATGAATGAATGAATGAGTAATAGAATGAAGCCAACTACTGTTTGATAACAAGTGTAAGAAATAACAGGGTTATTATCTCATAATTAACAGTAATACGCGTGTATAATATAACATTATAAAAGATAACACTATAAAGCTTCTTTTACCACGCAACTGAGGATGTGTGGACAGAGAGAGGCTCTATCCTTCCTGCAAAATTGAACTATTTTATAGGATGATCAAAGTTTAAAAAAGACTCATTAAGTAATGATTTATGAGACATCCAGGCCTATCAAGATACATTAAGAGAATAAAAGAAACTGTTATTATATGTAGGGCTTAAAAGGTCTCTAATAAAAAGTCTTTTATTTGCATCAAGTTTGATTATAATCGATGGAACTAGTCCATTATCAATCTAAAAGATCCACTAAAGCTAGTTTTAAAAAGAAAGAAATAATGATTAATTCAGTCAAACGCTTTTATCTGCATTTTCCTACCTTGAAAAACCAAAGAGCCAACCATGGTACTTAGAAGTACGATAGCATCTAAGCTTGCAAATGGAAGTGCACATAGTGACCAAAGCACAACAGCATTGATTACTCGTGACCCAATAATGATTTTTCCATAAATATCTGCTATTCGTGTATTTAAAGCTTTGATAATAGAGTTTATGACAAGAATCAATCCACCAAAAATAAGGAATGTCTTGTACACGAATACTAATTCATCCCTGGAAATTGTACCCGCAAATGAAGCATTTTCGCCTGTACCTTCTGCAGCTGCAGGCTCCGATCTGCGCATCAAATGGCTCTTGGTTGAATCGAGCTGATCATCACAGTAATAGCTAGTGATGGTATGTATGACTGTATAAGCAATGGATGAGGAAAGGTATTTACACCAGGTGGTATTAACTCGAGATATATTCTTATTCACTCTTTCGTATTTAATCGACTCGGCTATTTTTATGGGGCTATAGTCATCTTGATCTTGGTTTACAACATCTCTAATCATTTGAATAGCACGTTTAGCATGATGTGTAGCTGATGTATTGGATGATGATTCGGTTGCAGCAGGGGCGTCGGTAGAATGGGTATTGCTAGTATGTGTATCAGTAGATGTGGCCGTGTCATGTCCTGCGCTTCCTTGAGAAGATGGTGATTCTGCTGTGGCGTGACCCGTATTAGAAGTAGACGATGGTCCTGTTGCGATATGCCCCGTATTAGAAGTAGATGATTCACCATGTCCTGTGCCTTGTGGCTCTTCTTCAAGCTTATTATCTCTCACAAGTTGGAATTTGTATATTTTAAGGCTACATAATAATAATATATATTTATCAGTTTTTTGTAGATTAATAATCATACAAGATCCTTACACATCGATAAGCGAAATACCAAAGGCAACTTGGCACAAGTGTAAAGGAAAGTGAAGGTATACCCATATTTGATGGTATTTGTTATGAAGAAAGATCTATAGAATGCTATGAGAAAATTGAATACATGCAAAGAGATTTCCTAGTTACTTCTTTGTTAAAGTCTTCGAAATACATAAAGAAGAATCCAAAGATGATAGCAACAGCCATGAAATTGGGACCACTATTATATAAGCAAAAAGACGTTAGTGTTTGTATGGTTGATATAGGCGCGATCATACACAATAATAAACTTTGTTCCTGCAGTTGCGACCAAATTGACTAGACCCATAAGGTTTTCACCTGAATTAAAAATGAGAATGTGAATACAAACAGATAGGATGCAATAATAAAGCATTACCTAATACAATGAGTGAAAGCAAGCCAAGTCTTTCAGCCAAATGACTAGCAGCCCAAGAAAGAGTTTTATCACCTCTAAAGATGATATTAACCAAGACTTCACAGAGTACACCCAAATACCAAAGAACACGATGTATATCGTTTTCAATCATTGTTAAAGATGCTGCCCAAAGAGCAATTGATAATAGGTTGGCTGCTATATAGCATGATAGGGCAACTCTGGACTTTGATTTTGCCAGCAATGCAACAATAAACACTAGTCAAATAAAAGAAAAAAGTTGAGTACATATATATGTGCCATTGAATATGATAATTACCAATGAGATACTCAATAACAAGTACTGCTTTCAATGCTAATAATATAATGCTTAGTATGATAAAGATACTGAAACAACTAGACTTACTGATATAACCGTAGACATATCCTGGTGAATTTAAAAAGTATTCCGATGAACCAGCCATACCAACTAGGATAAAAAGATATTATATTAGTGTTGACTGAACACAACCATTTTGATTGCTTTACCAACTGCACACATTTCTACTAACTTATAGATGTGATGAACTACATCATCGCTATATATGTTGTATGAAAAATGAGTAAGTCATGATGAACAGAATATCCTATATTTACGTATCAAATCTTGCAGTATATCTGATAAGGGATATAAGTGAGCAAACGCGTAGTGGTATTTAGCGGCACTTACAATGAACTTGCACACCATGCCCACCATGTAATAATGAACCATTGAGCATATAAAGCCAATGAGGACCAATCCTTTATGTGATGACTATGAGTAAACTCGGATAGAGTAGCAACATAGAATAGATCATAAAATAGTTCCAACCAAGAAGCAGCTGTTTCTTCACCAATGTCAGCACTGAGGTCAGGTTCAGGGTATTGAAAAAATGGTCTACGTGTTGATACAGAAGATGAAGAAGTGGGTTGATGAGTATGTTTTGGTTTAAACTCTATATAGCAGTTATCATTAAATTCCATTATGTGACTATCAGGATGGCGATGGTGATGATGATTTTCATGATTATTATCTGCCTTGTAGTGAATTTTAATCGAAAAATCTCGCTTAATTTTGTATAGGAAATCAGTTAAACCGTCTGTATCATGTACGCCGTTGAATAGTAATTTCTCTTTTTGGTCCATTTTGAGCTAATCAAAATGCGGTTACTAAAAATACTTGTAAATTAAATAAATGACTTTACCCTAGTACAAAAGTCATTGGCAGATTCATGATCCAAAGCAAAGGATTGATTTCCTTTTAGTTGACGAAAATGAATAACAATGATATAGTCCATGTCGGCTTGTTGCTTAGGATCATCTCTATGGAAACAGGTTATTTTAAGGTGCGATGACAGCTATAGCACTAAATACCTATGATGTTCCCAACTTTCTACTTGATGCTTGTATTCTTCTTTACGGTGCTTATGTGCACTATATTCTTCGATAGGATGAGTAATGACATCTCCGAATGTTTCATCTCCATGGTGATAAATGGGCTTTCCTGTTTGATCCGTTTCTATTTTTTCATTGTTATCCTAAAGATGTGTTTTATTATTACTGTTCTAGAATAATAAAAATTAAAGTACCATCATCTCTGTCAACCCTATCGTTTCTTCTTCATCGTCACTGTTTCTTTTATACAAAGAATTTCTTCCTATAGGAGGTCTAAATCTTCCTCCACGAAGAGTTGGTCCTCTTCTTATCGAACTCTGTGATGTTATATTTGAACTCATGAATAAAATGTGAAGAAGAAGAAAAAAAGGGAAAGTAACTGCTATTTTTACTCCTTATTTTTTAAATTCAGAAGCGTAGATCCTTTTTTTTTGTACAATTTAAGGCAATAAAAGAATATAAATGGATATCTTTTTTTATTTATTTATTTACTACAGTTTCGTACTACAGTTCCCAGGTCTTGACAGACATGACATTTTTACAAGTAAATCCTAATGAATATGATGGAATCTAACGCGATCACGATCATTCACAGGATTCCAATTAGGAAGTGATGTCTGATGGAAATTTGTACGAAGACCAGGTGAATGAAGTTGTCGATAACCAGAATATGTAGCTGCTGTTAATGCTGAGCCTACAATGATCATTAAAGGTACAACTTCTGGATGACTGAAAGAACGCTTGAAGAAATGTCGAATAGCTGGATGCATAATGAATTGTTAATTTTTTTTATTTTTTGGGCATTCCTTTATATATTTCTCTGGTAAGATGACGATGGTATGAGGTGTCCTTCTACTATTGGTGCCATGTTGCATAAATATTTCACTTGTCTTTAAGAGCATAAAGTGAAAAGAATGAAATAATTATGACAATAAAAAATAATATCCATTAAATGCCTTTATTTACAAGGGAGAAGAAGAAGGGAATCTAACTTCTTTTTAATAAGGTTAAAACTGCTGCCGCTTCAACTACGTCTACACCTGTATCAAAAGAATTTAATCCAAACTTTTGAATCATTGAAATATCAGTTGTATGTCTACGTCGATGATTCTTTACAGACTCAGTCATGGGTAAATCCTTTTCTTGTTGTTGTTCTTCACCATCCAGTAATACATCAAGATCATAACAATATCTATTTCCTGCTGCAATAGCTGCTGTGGCTGCTGTGGCTGCTGCCCTTTTATGATTCGATTTCATTGTCTCTTCATGTTTAGGTTCTTCCTTTTTTACTCTCTTTTTATACTTTCTCTTCTTTTTTTCTGTGCTTGTTCTCTTTTTATAGCTATTACTGCTCGAAGGTGGTGGGAAATACTCTGTCCCACAAAGTATTTTGCCATGTTTCCATTTTACACCACAGGCATTACAGAGTGTACCCGCACCCTCTGGACCTCGTCGCCACATGGGTGTACTCTTTGAGCCACAGTATGAACATTGCTTATTTAGTTTGCTATTATTGCTATTTGCTATCGGTGGTGGATCTATGTCCATTGTGGATGTAAAAGAGGTTTCATCTATATGCGATTCTAGTAGATAATATCAATACGTTGTCCTATTAGATTCTGTAACTATTTACTTTCTTCTTCTTCTTCTTCTTCTTCTTCTTCCCCCTCTTCTTCTTCTTCTTCTTCCTCTTCCTCTTCACCTTCTTCATCATCGTCATCGCTTGCCCAATAATTTTTTTCTATTGAAGTAGATGGCTGTGCTTCTTCATTTGAAACAGTAACAGATTTCTGTGCATTGACTTGTTGATAATGCATCTTCATCTACAAATATGAGTTAGTTCAAGTCTATAATGTATCCTTCTTGTTTATTATTACCAGTTCCATCATCTTTTCATATCTCACTTCAAAATCCAGTACAGTCTGCTTTAGTGCGGTAAATAGGACTTCATTGACACCTGATAGACCAATGTTGATAGCATAACAGTCTGACTTTGGATTGATAAAAGATGATATCTGTAATCCAGGATCTGTTAGCCTTCGCTTAGGCCTTGTACAGACATTAGCAAACTCTTCTAGCTTTGAAGTAAAGGAGATTATATTCTTTTGTTTTTCAGTAGTTGTACATGAACAGGCAGAATGAAGGACGGATAGATTTGAATCTTTGGGTAAGTGAAATGATACTAGTACCTAATATGGCTATAAGATATAATCAACTAAAGAGTAACAAATAGCTTACATCAAAGGTAGACATATGAGTACCATTCAAGGCCTCTACTATCGCTTCATGTGGAAATAGATAGTATCGAAGTTGATCAGATATATGCTCTTCTATTGTTCGATTCATACAAAATACGATATCTTGCCTTCTCCTTTGTTCATATCTTCTCTTCTTGATGGGTAATGCTGCCTTTTCAGTCAGGTCATCTTCTTCTTCCATCTTGTATTGCTCAGTGATTTCATAAAATGTAATGTTGGGATAAAAGTAAGATCCAAACTTTACAGAAGCAAAACCCAAGCGTCGAGATTGTAATTGTCTTTGATTAGTAGGATCTACGACATGTTTGTCTAAATCAGTTGGAATTGGATAACAAGAGAACACTTGTTCAATCCATAGTCTAAAGTAATAGTTTATATAAACAGAATAATGACTTGTTATTCCATTTACCCATATTGTTTTCCATCTGTTTGACTATTGGCTCTTGATCTTGAAGACATGGTACCTTTGAGATGAATAAGACCGAAAAGGATTATTATATATGGAAAAAGTTCCAATATATATTTTTAGAAATTTATAATTTTATTGAAAGAGAAATTATATGTATTTTATTTATTTTTCTTAACCAGATCCACCGGAGAACTTCTTACCAAACAGAATCAACTGAAGTTGATCATAACCAGATAATACACCAGCACCAGCAATAGCACGAAGAATATTAGCACCTGCGCCCTTGAAGAGAGAACTAATTCCTTCCTTGGCCACAATCTCACGGAAAGCATGAAGAGAAGAATCGTATTTGATAGCAGCACCGGAGGTCATCATCATACGACGACGAACAGTATCAATAGGATAAGAGGCTAAAAGAGGGGTTAGATATTGTGTAACTTGTATATTTTATGCACTTACCAAGACCAGCACCAGTAGTTACAGCCCAACCAAGTAAGAAGGTAGCAATGAAAGATGATTGGAGATTTACAGGCATAATAGGCTTAATGGAGTCATACATACCAAAATAAAGACCACGATAAACGATGATACCAACACAGGAAATGTTGAAACCACGATAAAGACCAACAATGCCATCTGTTTTGAGAGTCTTTTTATAAACATCAATCAGACCATTGAATTGACGTTCACCGCCCTTCTTTGCAGACTTGGCATCATTAGCAAGACGTGTTCGTGCATAGTCTAGTGAATAGACAAAAAGAAGGGAAGACGCGCCAGCAAGTCCACCTGAAGCCAAATTACCAGCAAACCATGGCCAATATCCATCCTTTTTGTTGCGGTTAAACATGCGCTTGAATTCATCTCTGAAAGCGAAATTCAAAGCTTGAGTAGGAAAGTAACGGATGACATTGGCTGTATTTCCTCTCCATAAAGAGATGACGCCTTCATCCTTGACAGTACGAGCAAAACAATCAGTAATACCCTTATAAGGTGAAGAAAGGCGGCCTTGCTTAATCATTTCATCTTGATTTTGAATCAAGAGCTTAATACGTTCAATAGGAGCAGCAGCGGTCTTTGATACGGCGGCGGAAACACCACCCATAAGAAAGTCCTACGATAGAGTTAATTAAGGCCATCTTTGATCAAAAAAGCCAATTATTAAGCACAAACTTACAACAACAAACTTGTTTTGGTCAGGCATCGTTTTTTAAAAGAGAAAAAAGAAGAAAACGATAGAAAAAAAAGTAAATAAGACACTCAGGGCGGGGGTCAAAAAAAACCGGGGTTTAATTTCATGACGTTTGCTTTATGATTGCCGTTTGCCTGGTGAAAGCTTATGTTCATTGGGGGTGACGGCGACAAGATCCAGTTGACTAAATTGGTTTTTTGGGCACTTTTCAATTTTACAAAGGGATTGAATCAGCAGGTCAATAACCTTATTGGAAGCGGAGTAAGAAAGTTTTTGGGGGTAGAAAAAGAGCTAGAAATTACCTGCACACTGATAGAAACATGACAATTTCAGACAACAAATAATGTTAAAAGATGGCCCACAAGCAGCAAAAGAATGCGATGTAAAAGTACTTTTAGTGAATGAATTACGTGTTATTTATCAGTACTAACCACATTTACCTTCTCTCAAAAATATCAAACTCATTTTATGTATTAAATGTTGTCTTTTAAACAATAAAAAGACTGATAATCAAGATCATTAGAGTTATTGATCTTACATATTGTGTGCCAATGCTTTCTGAAAAAAGTGTATAGATAAACTTATGATTGATAATTGATAACTACTGAAGAAAGGGAAAACATCCACTCATGAGTATTGATTTCATATCCTATACACAGTCATAGGCTATATTAATAAGAGCTATTATCCACTCTCTTCAAATAAAAAAGCACTGAAAATCTGCAAATGATGGATTACTTTATATAAAAGCATCTATTTATTTACTGTATTTTATCCAAGTCAATATCATAGGAAATATTACAGCCACAACTATGTTTTGCGTTTGGGTTATTAGTGACTTGGAAGGTGGATCCAATCAATTCTTGAACATAATCAAGTGTTGATCCCCTGAGAAATTGAAATGATACACTATCAATAACTACTTTAACCCCTTCTTTTTCAAAAATACTACACGTAAAAAGTCAATATGCTTTCAATCATTGTAGTCTTTTGCAAATTACATGTCATCGTCTTCAACAGTTTTTGTTAATTCCAACTTGTTTTGGTATCCATGACAACCACCAGAATCAACCAGGATTCGTAACATTTGCTCCTTGTCTTGTTCTTTTTCTTGAATGTGTTGTAATTGCTATATTGATTGTTATTGCTATGATTTATTAGATCCACTTTTTAATATTTACCTTGACCGCTTTCTCAGTTATTCCTAACCCATTCATCACAGACGCTGAATGCACTTTGACTGGATTAGATAGTGAGGTATGTAACTGACTGAAGACCATTTGTTTATATAAACCATTTGAAGCTATAGCTATCTTTGGTCGAATGAATGTATTGTATTTTACACAGGTTCCTCTTTGTAAATGTCGCAGCATTTCTCAATTCTAATGTCTATAAGCGTAGTAAAGAAGCAGAAAAAAGTCTCACGCAGTCATACGAAGCTTTACGGATAAAATTTTTTCCTTGACACCCAAAACAATAAATTTGTTTCTATAGCATTATTTCTTTTTTATTGTATTAAACAAAAGGCTATTAGTCTTCCATAGCATCATCATCGTCTTCTTCTTCGTCTTCTTCATCGTTCTCTACCATAGGGAGACTCTCCTCTTCTGCGTCATCATCATCGTCTTCGTCATCGTCGTCGGCAGTTGTCACAGGCTTCTTTTCTTCAACAGTTGGTACACTAGCAAGTGCTTGATGTTGGAACGCTTGACGAACACCAGCATTGCTCGACATATCCCAAATGTGCATTTTTCCATTAGATCCAGCAATGGCGAGTTGAAAGGGTGAATCAGGGCAAAACTGTGTAGAGAAGATTCTACCAAGATCGAAATTTCGGCTTGTTACCATACTAGGCTTATTATCTGCTGTATTCCAAATCTTGATATACTTATCTGTACTGCCTGTTGCAATACATCCAGGCACTACAGGATTGATATCAAAGGCACTTACTGCGTCATCATGAGCTTGAAGTGTAAATAAAGGCTTACCACCTTTACCATCTTTGGCCATGCGAACATCAAAGTATTGTACAAGTCCATTTTCTAAAGCGACATAAAAGTTTGAAGTTTGATGGGGGTCCCAGCGAATAGACTCAACATCACTTTCCAGTCGCCATCTAGTCACTTGACCAGGAGAACGAGCATCAAGTACACAGACTGTTTTATCATAAGAACCAGAAGCAAATACAGTGGAGTCTGTTGGATGCCAAACGATAGATTGTACCTTGTCAGTGTGATGAGTATAATTCTGTACACACTTTGAAGTGGTCAAATCCCACAGCTTAATTGTTCCATCCGCTGAAGCAGACAATAAGAAGTTTCTATGATTTTTGTTCCAAGCCAAATCCATGATAGCATCGACATGATAATGAGCATTTGGCTTCTTTGAGCGTTTCTTTGATTTGTCTGTGTGGCCCAGGATAGTCTCAGGATACATGATGTCGACCGTATCAAGGTCCCAGATTTCGATATCAGGATCAAATGTGCCAATAGCCACGTAATTACCAGATGTTTCTGGGTTCACTTTACCCTCACTTGTATGGAAGTCTAACCATTCAAGACAAAGAGGGAAAGAAGGTAGCATGATATCATGATGGACATAGAGATTTTCTTGTGACTCTTCATATACATAGACTTCCAACTGTGAAATGTCATCTTCTGTTTTTGCTGCCAAAAGCATATTATCGGTTGGTAATACTTCCAACTCTTTCTCTTCTTCTTCAGCATCCATATCATTCTCCAAGGTGACATATGGATCATCTTGGTCATTTTCATAATAGGCTAAATCTTTTATGTTGGAGAATATGCCGACCTCTTCTTGATGTTAATACATCACGTTTTCTTTAATTCTATGGATCTTACTTTTATTAGACGCTTTTACTTCTGTGTCATAGTCATCCAACTTGTATAAAGCCAATTCATCGCTATTTTTCTTTTCTTCATCACTTCAATATGATCAATACACTTTCTATGACCAATACTCCATCTACTTACTCTACTTCCATAGAATTATCGGTTGCAGCCTTTAATTCTTCCTTGGCATCCTCTAATTGCTCTGCTGCCAATTTACTGATTCTGGCATATTCTTCGTCATTTAAATCATATTTTTTAGGATGCTGAGCAGGTGCACCTTTTCTGATCCAATGAATGGCTGAAATCATAGTAACTTGTAATAAAAAAAAAACTGTCAAAAAAAGCAGTACAATGTTTTAAGTGATCTTCAGCCAGCGTGACCGCCTATTTCAATAGTCCTTCAATTCCTTTTGTTCATGTCTGAGTACAGTGTTTTAATCTAAAATTAGGAAAGAAAAGAAGCATTTAGTCAGTGCTAAAGAGTATTGCCTGTCTCTCTCGCTCTTTCTCTCTTCCATTTTACTTTCTATTAAAAGAATAAAACAAGCATACATTATTTTCAGTTTCAAAAACTTACCTCATTGCTACACTACCTTCATCATATGCTCTGTTGACTGAGTTTGATTTATATATACAACCATATATAACTTTGTATATGCACTTTAATCCTTTCTTTTTCTTATTCTTATGGATATTCAACTTTTGGACTCTAACGATAACTCAGGGTGTAAACTATTAGACTCCTTTGCCATAGCCGTTCAACTCATGCTGGCTTGTTTGGCATTCTCAACGTTGATAATAAAGCGACAAAGAGAAATACCACAGCGGCCATTGTTGGTTTGGTAATAACATGAAGACCGTAGTCATGATATTCTTTATAAACCCCGAATTAGGATACTGGATGTGAGCAAGCAGATTATTGGGGGTGCTATAGTCCATTCACTCAACGTTATCGCTTCTCATTTATTTGGGGCTTCTTTAGAAGGCGAGCCCGAGTCAAATCCATGTGTTTGGTAAAAGAGCAATTTGTCAAAATTTTATGGATGTAACTTATAGGTTTATAGGTATTTTTTAAATATACTTGTCGATACCACCTTTGGTGTACTTGTGATCTGGGCAGTACTATCATTGGCTAAGCGAATAACAGAGTTTTATCGACTAAAGGGATTTGAAAGTGGTATTTATGGTGATGGATACGGTGATCAGATAAAATCATGGAGTAAACAATTGGGTATCTATGTATTAGCGCTAGTAACAATGAAAGTGGTTGTTTTGGCCTTATTTGGACTGTGCCCATGGCTAGAACGCTTGGGTGAATGGGTTCTTGAATGGACTATGGGAAATTATCGAATACAGGTTGTGTTTGTTATGCTGATGTACGTAGACTCGATATTGATCATTTATTTTTCTCTAATCTTTTTATACGTAAATCTGATAGATTCCCTTTAGTCATGAATATCATCCAATTTTGGATAGTTGATACCATAGTCAAGCACAAGACGAGACCGTTACAATTAAGGGATGAAGAAGATAACACGCTTGTTTCAGATGGCGAATATGAGGATGATATCGAACAGACAACTTTACTTCAAATTGCACCTAAAAACCTTGCTCAAACCTAATAAAGTCCGATCCCCTTTCTTTTTTTTCCTTTTTGATATGTTTTATTTTCGTTTAATTCGACCAAAGACGATCATTCCTCGATCAACACCTAGTCTCAAGCGTACAGTGACTTATGAACCTTCTAAGCCATTCCCACCACCACAACCTACTCGACCAGTTGACATGCTGGATCAAAAAAAAGATGACAAAAAGATTGCCATGTCACCCACTTTAGATGCTGTAGCAGAGGACATGTCACATAAAAAGAATGTTTCTTTTAGACAAAGTCATCATTTCGACACTTATAAACTATTGACTCAACTCGAAAGCCAAGGCTTCAGTCGAAAGCAAGCTGAGGTTATAATGAAAGGCATCAAGTTTCGTCTAAGAGAATGGTAATAATAATATAAAATGACAACAAATGTGTAATATATATAGTTTTATAGTACGGCCTCAATGAAGCAGCAACTCTTACTATCCTCAGACCTAGAAAATGTATTTCACATAAGGCATATTGTGGTCATAGTTTCCCTTATTGTTTGCTTATAGGAATCCTATTTATTTAAAGCCGCTTTATCAGAGTTAAGAACGGAAATACAAGTACTCAGGAGAAATGACATGCAGATGCTTCAATCTGAATTAACATTACTAACGAGGGAGGTGGATATATTAGAGCAGAGGCTCAATGAAGGAGTTGCTACCATGAAAAATGATATACAAATGGATATGAATAATCGAAAGAACGAAACAAGGGAGGATCAAAAGACGATGGATATGAAAATACAAGAAATAAACAATAAATTTACAATAAGACTTGGTGATATTCGTACAGAAATAGAAGCTGTTCGATGGGAAACTATATGGAAAGGAATGAGTATGTGCTAAGATATATTTATAACATATATTGACCATATTATCATTTCACTATTAGCCGGTGTTTGCTTAGCTGGGTTGACAATAGCTACGTTAGGATATCTATTGACAAGATACACTGCTAGAAAAGCAGATAGAATTAGATTAGAAGAAGAAAGGAAGAGAAAAAGATTACAAGAAGAGGCCAATAGAGCTGGTACATTAGATATGGAAGTTATTTATTAATTCTATCCTTTTTACAAAGGGCAAAAACCTAGAAGAATAAACTATTCCCTTTTCTCATACATCCATACTTAATCACTAAAAAGAAGACTAGATTATATATTTATAAAGCAGCTAACACCGTCAAGTTAAAACTGGCATTAAAGACAAGCTACACCCCCTATGTACCTTTGCTTAGTGTGCCTAAGTATATGCATGACCCAAGCTTAAGGTGTTTAACATTGATATTCTATGGGTCTTTATTATATTGAAGTGAATAAAAGAGAAAAGGATAACACATATACGCGCACAATTTACGTGAAAGCTTTAAAACCTCGGACTGTATAACAAAGGTGAACTGAATTATATGATCTCGCTATCGTTTACTATTCTTTTTAAGTGTGAAGAAAAAATCTTGAAAATAAAGGAGTGACTTTGAACAAATGACACGAGAAGCTTCTTGCAATGCGTAAAAAAAGAACTTTAAGTGGGTTTTTATTGAAAAAGTGATTGATATGGATATGTGACACCAGTCTTAAATTTAACGACAATGAAAACAAATAGTGTAGATATTGTTAATAAAGATTAGATAAAGACGAGATTGTTATGATCTAGAGTTATAATTCCTTTTGATAGCAAGTAAAGCACTATCCAGCGAGGAAAAGAAACAAATCTCTACAAACTTGATATATTAGAAAACAAAAAGATAAAAGCAGGGATGAATTCTTTTTATTTTATACGAAAAGCAACTTAACGAGACCAAATAAAAGGTTGATATATCACGTCGGAAAGCGCACAATAGAAAGAAAAGATGTGATTAGGGTCCAATGGTGAAATGCAGTCAATATTTAGTGAAGCATGCGCGAAAGAGAAGACCATTTTTACTTACTATTAGCCAAAAGAACCATATTATCGCTTGCGTTTACGAACGTTAAATTTCATTTTGAAAGAAGTCATTAATAGGCTCAAAAAGCAATTAACGATCTGAAAATATGCAGAGCAGCTTTGTATAATCAAAAGATATAACGCATCTTTTAGAAAAATAAGGAATGTGGGTTGATTCAGTTAATGTAAGATTGAAATATGAACTGTTCCTTACGTAGTTACGAATCTTGTCAGTAACTGTGTATTATCGGTGAGACGGCATTTCAATTAATCTCATGAGAACAATGGAATGGTCAAAAGAAGGGGCGCAACCCGATGCCGGTTGCTGCTTTTACCTTGAGTGATCCAAGGCTTTTTTTTTGTTTTTCTTATGAAGGCATATATAGTTAACATTCTCTAATATTAATTATGCAGAAGATGATATGATACCTAAAGTGACTATTGAATTAGTTCGTATCTCGCTTATAACAACTTCATTATTGTCTATTCCTTTAAATTTTTGAACGACGCGTCGATGCTTTGGATGGACCTGGCTCATGAAAGGAAGATAAAATATCATAATCTAAGAGCTGGATCAAAATTAATTAGATACGAATGTTCCACTAGGAGTAATTTAACAGATGGAATGAACAGTAGAAACCTTTTAATTGATGATCCTATTAATAACTCATCTATTCAGGCTTAGTTATCATTGGTTTTTGACATACAAAGGGTTATCCGCTGTTAAAAGTATAAATAGAGTAACTATTTTATTTAATAAAGCACACGCCTCTCTTTTCAAGTTTCGTCATTCACCGTTATCTTGTCTTATTATGCTTGTCGGATAAATTGACGATAAATAAATGTGTATTTTTTGGGCAATAATTATTTTATCTTTTCTTTTTGGAAGCTATATACGCCAATGCTTGTAGCAATGATGAGAGAATTTTGTACTTTTTGTGAAGAACGCACATTTGATGAAAAATTTAAGAGCTACTACAATTTGAAATGCCGTATTTGGCCTTACACTAGATATTAGAGCAGGAAGAGAGCCTAATATGAACAGAGTCGGCTATAACGATGAGTATAAACAATGTATACTTACCCTTCCTGTTATTTTAAAAGAAAGGGACACTGTGAGTAGCTATATAACGAAAAGCGCATTTTGAAGTAAAATTACTTCCATGTTAAAATCACTTTGCAGTAATGCCTAAATGGAGCGTCTGCATAGTTACTCGAGCCTGATAATAAATGATGTCGATGTGTGTACATAAATACCTACGAATATAAAACTAAAAGCGGGATAAAACAGAGAGCAATAACGACTCTAAATGTTTGAGAAAATGCATGCGAAGCACAGTAAGGCTTACACACAACGGGTCCTATGATTAACCAGATACTGTATAGATCACTCTTAAGAGCTCTGTATTTGGCATTGTTATTGTGGTATTATGTGTAGAATTTAAGGGAATAGATAATAGCTCGCCTTATATACTCTTTATTTTACTACAGAATGTGTCTTTATAAAAGATATGTAGTTTATATCATAATTCACTTTCTTTGATACTTTAACAACATATCCAAATCATGCTATATATAAAAGCAACATAATATATATGTTTACCCCGTAATGACAATCTAAGCATTTCTTCACCTCTTTATTTTATATGATAAAATAAAATATACCACTGGAAGTGATCTTTTACATTTGATCCACTTATAATTCGTAATCAAGTAATTCTTCAGTATCTTGGGAAGAAATGTGGACAGCCTGCTCTGTGTCGTCATTATTATTGATGTAATGTTTGTTGTAGATAAAGCATTAAGTCCTAAAAGTCAATGGGACAAAAGAATCATGTGTTTATTAAGTAAATGTTCTATTGACGTATATATGGCTATTGATGCGTAGGGGTTTTACTTTTCTACACTCTGTTGGATTTTTCATTTAATGTCAAAGTGTTACCCTTGCAGTTATACTTCAGTGAGGCTTCTAGATCATTTATGTAAGTGAGTCTCTAAACTGATATGTGTTACGTATACAATGTATCGAGTGTGTAAATACCACAATCGGGCCTTATTTGCGTACCAACAATGCCCCACAGCAAGTCCAAAACAGCCTTTTCCCGTCGTTTTGTTCCGAAAGCTCTCTTGGTCCCAAGGCGGGCAGCGTAAAATTGCAGGTATTGCTCAGGGATCTGAGGCGAACTGACCATGATGTGTAGTGAATGCCTCTCGTCACTGATCAACAATTGAAGCCTGGCCATGTATTGTGGGCTGAGCGTTGCCTCGTACACATTCGAAATTAGCTGATCCTCTTTCACTGTAGTTTTCAAGCAGCCAGGGGCTGGAACATTTGGCCCCTAATACTGCTACTTCATTAATTTTGGTAATGATTAACAATGAGATGCTTTGTTTATTGTTGTATTTACTCTATAAATACTTCATCTTATCATATAAAATTATTTTAAAGAAAGAAAAGAAAAAATAGATTAACCATAAAATATGTTGCTCTTGTATAACATGTCTTATCTAATGAGAATCGAACATGATTAATTCATGCAGTAATAATGAGCCCCCTCTTATCTTGCTCCGCAATAAAAATATTGCTGTTTTGCCAAATACGAAGGTAAGAGACAAAAACTAGTAATAAGAAGAATAGAAAAGGACAATAAGCCAGTGAGACTGAAAATATGATATCTTTATTTACTACGAGTAAAACAATGGTATTTATACTTTTCAACATCTACAATCAGTAACAATAATTGGGTACCATAAGCGTACCTATAAACATCCAGCTACAATGGGAGTAACTGGGAAGAACCGTAGTTATTATTAAACTATTGGTTCGATGTATGCCCGAGGCACCTTGTTAATGAGGTGGTACATGATCTGACAATGTCTGTCGAATAAGGAGCCGTTAACCTGAAAGTTAGAACACAGAAGTTTAATTAAGCATTGTAACGGCGCTCTAAGAGTAAGCCCATATACGGAAGAACTCCTAACTGAATAACGGTTACTACAAATATTTATTGATAATGTTGTGATGGCACAGCAGTTACATAGAAACTCATCGACACATGCCTGTATTTCTTTTTTTTTATCACGACTATGTCACAAAAGTCATACACCATTTCCATAAAGAGATGTCGCGCTGACCTGTCGCTTTTTGGTATAAATTGTATTATAAAAACTGCAAAAATGCGACTTTATTTTCTGAAAAGACTGTATAAATGTATCGAATCGGAGCATTACGATAAACGTCACTATTCACTTCTTGGTTGTAACTGTTGTAATCAACGATAAAATAAGCACATTAACGAATAAATCTAATAGTTAGATCCTCGTCTTTGGCCCCTTAGACAGCATGATGTTGCTAAGAGTGTAGAATCACAATCAGCCACAAGTAAATTCATTAAGCATGTAGACACAAGCTATGTAGTAGGTTTTCTAATCATTGACTATAAATACCCTTTTAACGGGAGCTTTATATTATCGAATAAAAGAGTCTTAAAAGTATTGGCATGTCTTTTTGATAATATTGAACAATATAAAGCTAAAATAAGCTATAAACTGTATATTCAAATAAATATTCTATTTGTTTCTTTTAATAAAATCGGAATATCTATATTTTCTCATAATAAGCTGCTGCTACAACAGTAGCAACAACTATGCATTGCTGCGGCCTTGATGATCACTCTAATTGTCGTAATCATTATTTCGCATCATCACAGTGTTAAAAAGGCGAAATAAATCGGTAATGCACCTAACATTAGAATTGGACACACCCAGATTGGTGACGTATTTTAGGCAGGTGTAATGATGTTTTTTAAAGTCTAAAGGATTATGAGAGAGATCCACAGTGGTATATCCTGTTTACATAAGTTCTATTTGTCTAAGGAAATACGCAGTGTTACTCTACGGTAGAAATTATTATATATATATGAATGAACTCAAAACAAAGACGTAAGTATATATCGGTAATCTTTAACAAGTAAAGATTTGGTCGGTCCATTTGGGCTGATATAAACTACATTTTTTTTATTGAACAGACCCCTTCAGTTTACACGACGCGTGTGGTTACTACAAAGCTTAAGACCTGTATTTTTATTTCGTTGAGTTTTTTAAATTATTTTTTATAGTATTAAACAGATCTAAATCTCTCAAACAACATCAGTAAAATTTAAAGTTCAAACATGCCTCCTGTCAACAAAAAACTTGATGTCAACGTAAAAGTATCAGTTAGCAAGCGTTTCATCACTGATAATACAGTGAAAACTATATTATTCCGTGAGCACGACTGGAACGAGCCTAAGTTGAGCTTCCAAGGAAAGGCGATTGCACGATCTGAGGAAAATGGTAAGGTGATGTGCAATGTACTGTTGGATGAAGCAAATGGCCACATCCTCAAGCTTAGCGAAGGTGCTATCAAGTACGTCGGCCCTCTTTCAACTCCTGTAGCTCAGGAGATTGTTGTCGACACCAATGTAGTCGAAGCTGAAGACTTGTTGGAAGATGCAGTGGATGAAGATGAGGAAGAGGAATCCATCAATTTGACTTCAAGTCGTGGGTGGACTGCTGGTGAGGCCTATATGGACTCTCGTCTAAGTGGTTCAGCAGAAGGATTCACCTCCTTGAACTCTTGTTTAATGATGGACAATGGAAGATATTCCTCTCCATTGGATTATTTCTTGTTCTTCCTTCCTTCCTGTGGATCATTTTTATTCCATTATCCACAACACCTGTTGCAAGCAAGACATAATATATGAGAAGTTATGCAGTAAAGTTGAGCAGCACGCACATCCAAACAAGGCTTATCTATGATGCGATCTTCATAAGGTTTAGATAGCTTACAACTGTTCATTCATGCAATCTTTTCTCTGTCTCTCACTAGGATCTTATCAATAACAAGGGTCAAGGACTCTCTCATGCATCGATCAGCTACAACAAGTATTTAAAGTGACTTCAATTCTTTGTTCTAGAAAGAAAAATTCTTTTTTATCTTATTATCTATTTCAGAGAATAAAAGTGTCTCAAAGTATTTCTTGTGTGCTTTTATTTCTAAATTTGATAGTAAGATTATTACAACACCAACCTTCATGCAAGAAGTCTCGGCCATTGGGAAGATATTACCTCTCATGAATATCTCATGTGGATCGCACTCTTGACGGCAATGACTGTGGTCAGACATGGTGATAGAAAGGCATATTGGAAACAAGACCAGTTTTTTTCTTGATGAATGTTGACTTTAGTCAATATATGTCTTTTAACAGATTCAATGACATTATGAAGATGCATGTTTTTAAACTTCCTTCAAAGCAGGCTCAGGAGCTTGACCCTCTTTATCAAATTAGATCCACCATCCAAGCCTTCAATGATCACATGGCTAAATGATAATACCAGGAAAACATCTTGTTGTCAATGAATCCATGAATCAATGGTTAGATACTGGTATGCCAAATTTGAAGAAGGTTCTTAGAAAGCCACATCCAATCGGACAAGAGTTTAAGACGTTGGCTGACAATCACTGCTACTGCATATTACGTATCGATACAGTCAGTGATCCTTGCCCAAAAGAATATGACAAAGATTCTGGTATGAAGAAGCTGACGGCCACTGTAAA